GCATCGTTTGGAAAATTCATATTTTCGAGGATATAACGTGAAAAGTAGACTCTGAATGGAGAATTATTTTATGTATCATTATATTTCGAGTATTTTGTGTATTTTTTTTTTATTTTATATGTTATATATGTATATGTGCGTTCTACGGGATTTTTCGCTTGAAAATTTATAAATTCTTGAAAAGCGAGTATAAAAAGAAAGGCTGAAATAGAAACTGAAATCTTAGAGCTTTGATGATTCTACACTTTTATATCGTATACATAATATCGTTATCTTTAACTTGCTTAATCCAGCACACTCACATTGCTCTCCGTATTTTGTGAATCACGTTTAATCACATTATAAAACGATCTCGCATCCCGTGAATCGTGAATGTTCCAACGTAACGTGAAAAAAAAAAAAGTGATTTCGAAGCGAATTCTCTGCACTTGAAAGATGAATAAACAGCGATTAAGGAAGCGTTTAAAGCGCCTGCAGCATCGATCACTGCTAATTAAAATATGCCAACGGCAACGCGAGAAAACGCGTTTGTTCTCTCCTTTAATTAAATCCCCGAGCAAATTTCACGGCTCTCTGCAGAGCGTCAAACGGCGGTCGCCAACTTTTCTTTTTTTCTTTTTTCTTTTTTTTTTTTTTTTTTTTTCTTTTCGTCCAGCCACGATTGCGTTCTTCGCGTGGAGAAAAAGAAAAAGAAGAAGAAGAAGAAAAAAAAAAAGAAACGAAAACTATTTGGTACGGGGCGATAAGAAGGCCAGGCACGACACGAGGAGACAATGAATGGAAGGCGCATTGTCCCCAGCGGTTTCCGGTCGTTCCGACAACCGAGCGGAAGATGATTATCGTTTAATGAAAGTCCGGCTGCACGCGGTTCCGCGCCGATATAATTCGGCGCGCGCGGTGTTCTTGCATCATTATAATCAAGTTTGCAAGACAATAGTCGTAAATCACGAGAAACGGCTGGCCTGTGCCACGTGTTTCCGGTAGAAGCATGACGGAAGCTGCCGGATGCCTCGACGAGGCCGTGTCGAATAGGCGAAATAACTCTTGAAATAAATTGTGTTAACATTTTCGGGATCTAATGTACCAGTGTTACATATTAGTTGCGTCATTTTCATCCAAGTGGATTCCATACGCTTTTGAAATAATTTCGATATTATATCAGCGTAGAATGTAAATTTGGATCTTTGAATTTTTGAATCTTTGAATCTCTGAATATTTAAATCTTCAAATCTTTGAATTGTTAAATTATTGAATCTTTGAATTTTTTTAATCTGTGAATCTCTAAATCTCTGAATCTCTGAATTTTTATATCTTCGAATCGTTGAATCATTTTTTGATCGTTGAATTTTTTAATCTATGAATCTCTAAATCCCCGAATCTCTGAATCTTTGAATTTTTATATCTTCGAATCGTTGAATCATTTTTTAATCGTTGATTTTTTCAATCTATGAATTTCTAAATCCCTGAATCTTTGAATCGTTGAATCATTTTTTAATCGTTGAATTTTTTAATCTATGAATCTCTAAATCCCCGAATCTCTGAATCTCTGAATTTTTATATCTTCGAATCGTTGAATCATTTTTTAATCGTTGAATTTTTCAATCTATGAATCTCTAAATCCCTGAATCTTTGTATCTCTGAATATTTGACCTTTTTTGATCTGTGAATCTCTGAATCTTTGACTCTTTGAATCTCTGAATGTTCGAGCCTTCAAATCTTCGGCCTTTGAATTTCTGGATCGTTCTGATTTAAATTCGATTTAATTTAAATTTGAAATTTCATTCTAAATCCGAGTTGATGTCTCGGTCCTGTGCAGAGTCAATTAATTCGATAGTTAGGCTCTATTTGAATTTCATGGAGTTGAACGAATCCACGGATCTTCGAGGAAGAGCATAAAGGGACGATGTGCAGAGAGAGAAGGTAACCGAAGGGCTGCAATCTTGATTATTCATCGTATGACTGGCCCGCTGACAATCGCTCTTCTGTTTGCACTTATAATTACTGTTTGCGGAGCATTGTTCTTAAGCCTGGCGCCTGAAATGGCACCCCAGTTGATAAGTTACCAGGAATCACCGTGGAAAGTCCTTCCCCATTTCGCAATTTTGGGATCGGCCACCGAGTAAAACTCTAAATGGGGAAAGGTTACTTCTTGAATTATTATCGTTATCACCGCAAGAGGAATATATTTTCCAACTGCACGTGTAATAACGTGTAATAACGTCCTTTGCATAACAAAAACTTGACTTAATAATCATACGCAGTCATTTGTTCAGAGATTCGAAACACTGAATGATTCGAAACGAATCAAACAAACTTGTGCAGAAGTCTAGAGTTTAAAAAAAATTTCTAATCTGGAGTTTAAATTTCAGTAACATTCTAAAATAACAGATGCCTGAAAACTGTAAGAGATCTCCAACGAATTGGAGAGGAGTTGAAATGTTTACTCCGGACGAAACGTCCAATTACGATTAAATTCACGGGATCGTTTCGTCGACGCACGTCTCGCATCGGGGAGAAGATCCTAAGAAGTATCGAGTAAACGAGATGGAAACGAAACGAGCGAGTGAAAAATAGGGAAAACGACGATGTGGACGATAACAAGATAAGATGGCTGCCGCGTGAAGATTGTTGTCAGACCTTTCCAGCGTACGCGTTAATAAAGACGGACGGTTTGTCTTACGTTTAAGGCCGATCGGTCGGCTCAATTTTACCGAACCTCCATTTTCATAATCGTTTCGGAAGCGATTTAACGATAAGAGTTAAGGTAAACTGAGAACTTTAACGAGCGGGCTTTTAAGCCGATTAACATCCTCGAACTCCTTGAATATACACGATCCAGGAGTCTGAACAAGCAAATTCGCCGAGACAATCAGCTTATTCGCGGACTTTCTTTCCGCGATCCGATATGTACACAAACGAGATCTCTCTCTCTCTCTCTCTCTCTCTCTCTCTCTCTCTCTCTCTTCGAGTGAGACGACGCTCCGGAGAAAAACGAACGATAATAACGTCGTCCAGGCGCGCGTTTCCACAGCGAGAAACAATTGAAATCGATCAGCCGCTTACCGAGCTTTCTCTCGAACTCGACTTAATTACAAACTTGGGAATTGATCGCGCTCTTTAATTGATTCTGAAGCTCCGCGTTATTGTTCCTCCGACTCCTTTGTCCGCTAGAAAGATTCCTTTTCAAGAGGGTTTTAAGCTCCTAGTTTTTATAGACCTTTCAGAAAATCCTGAAATGAGAAATTTCCACCAGACGCTGATTAGCGATACTAATACGATTCGTATCCTTTTTTTTTTTTTTTTTTAAATTCAAGAGTTGAAAGACGATGGTTAAAAAATTCTTCGTTTACTTTTACTCAGTTCCAGTCATTCCAGTTTCTCGGTATAGCATCGATTGTTTGTAGATTTAATGCCTTACATTGTAATAGCCTAAAAGTATGTGATTAAAATACTTTGGTTGGCAACACCGTCGATCGCAGTTACTTAAAATTTCATCCCCCGATGATCGATACATTTGCTCAGCTTCTTCGAGAGCTCACAATCGAGCGCGAAAAGTCGTGAGTTTCCTTTTTCTCTTCCCGGCGAGAAAAACCGTGGCTGGCAGAGAGGGTGCCAGGTAATTATCAATTAATTTTCATTAAAGCCTTCCATCCTGCAGATGGCTCCTACGACGAGAAACAATCGGACATCGGACGCACCAAGAAGCGTGCAGTTAGTTGGAAAGTTAGTTTCGAAAGAGGCTCGAAGGATGAAGAAGAAGGCGTAGGGGAACGCGAGAGAAGAAGGGTGTTGCCAGGCGTGTTGGAGGCTCGCCCTTGGCTCGTCTCCCTCGAAAAGCTTAAATCGGCTTCATATCTCAGCCCTGGGAACCCTCTTGTATCTCTAATCAGATCATTAAGCCCGCGGAGCGTGCGCATGAAGAAATTTGTCGCGAGGAACCTCCTGGCTCCTCGCGAGAGAAAATGGATAATCGAATCAACATCGGACGACAAGGGGCCGCGATTTTTTCCCCCGTTTTCTCCTCGTGCGTAAACGCGCACACTTGTCGATAAAAACTCTCGAGTTATTAGGTTAAAACTGCGAATGATTCTAAACTTGGTGGCGATATTCTGCGTCTTTCTTTTTCTCTTCTTTTCTTTTTTTTTTAAGGTACCTTGAAAATGTTTCGTTTTTTGAAACTCTCTTCTCTAACGTGTTTAACATTCAGTTATTTAAAATTAATTAAAATTACGGTTCAAATGTATAAAATATACAATTTACTTGCGTGCTAAATATATAAATTAGAAATATTTGGAAAATGAACTGAATCGTTGGAATTTCCTTCTACTAGCTAAATAGAATTCGATAAATGCTAGATCGACGCAACATTTAATATAAACCCTTAACACTGAATAAATTATATTTAACTCTATTGTACTTTAATGCACGAATTTTAAATGCTCGTGACCGAAAGTGAGCGCGTCTGAGGTATTATCATTGCAGCGATAGAGAGAATGGTTTCCACGACAGATGGTTAAAGTTTGGCGGAGAAGGGAGTGGAAATTGTGGCGTAGTGTAGTGGCAACTGTCTTCCAAATGAGAGCCATTTTTTACCCGCGACACAGCTGTGACAACGTGTTTCACAACTGTATCCATTACGATCTCCCTTTGTAACAATGTGCTCACCTCACGTGAGCAGAACGATAACACCGACGCTGCTGCAAAACGATCGTTTAAATTTATAAATCGTGAACGTTTCCCTTTGCTTGCGTTTCTGTTTGAAATTTTATTCATCGCTTGGAACTCGCCGGGTACTGTAACCTCGATTCACACTGGCATTCTAAAGTAAAATTAATATTTTATGGTAGAATTAGCACGCTGGAACCGATCGAAACACGCGCAACAATGGCAAAGAGATTGAACGAAGGGGTGGCGAGAGGAGGAGTTTCGATTCAATTAGAATCTTTTCAACGAGAATTAAAGCTGGGCTGCTTTTTCAAGCGGATTCGATTTGTTTCAGGATGGAGGAGACGTCACGGGGGTTGCTGCAGCACAAGCACAGGGCCGAGCAGCTGAAGCAAGAGAAAACTGCGCTCACACTCTCTTACGAGGTAAGATTTCGACGAGGAAGCTTGGTCGTTAAAAATATATCAGAATAAGACAATAGAATAAAACTCGGGAGAAGTGACACGAATTTCATATTTACACATAGCTAGAAAAATTATATATTATTTGGACGCTATTTATAGAAACTTACGTATCATTTGCATCGTACGAAATACTTTGAGGCTTGTATTTAGAGCAATTAGTTCAATTATCCGTCTCGAGAAGCATCGGCATTCAATGTAAAAACACTGAGTCGGCTTTTACCGATACGTGAACCTTTCTATAAACGTCCAAACATTTTCGTGAATTATTTTCAAATTTTTCCAAGATATTGTATTATCGAAGAATTGCCATAGTTTTTCTTTCATTGATCAAACTGACATGTCCATCGCGTGACATTGAAATTTCGATCGATTGCCAAAATTGGTCATATTTGGCGTTGTTTCACTTATCCTCTTCAAAAGTATCTTCCTTGAATTCATATTCATTCGAGCGGTTCATCCATGGATTTTTACACGGTTCGCCGAATTTCACAGGGTGAAACGAAAAGCAAGATGTCTGCCCTTCGATTTAATCGATTGGTCCCGTCGTCGGTAAGCACGAACCGATAACGAAGAGACTGCCGAACTCTCTAGTCGATCGAATAAAGTTTCCAACAGAGTTTATTGTTCCAGCTATTTCTTCTTTGTTTTTTTTTTAGAGGAGGGAGGAGGGTTTTTTCGTAAACAGAAGTCGAGGCACTATGACACTCTGGTAAAAAGCTCTCCCACGGTCCAATAACAGTGCTCTCGTAGCGTGAACCAGCAGCCTGTTATTGTATTTCAACTGACGTTGTCATGTACTATTGTTCCTGGCAGCGACACAAAAGCGGGGACGGCTGAGTTTACCGTTGAATTCACGTAACGCAATTTATTTCGTCCTCTTATCCGGTAAACTCTCGATCCGTAAAGCGACGCAACTGGCCGAAGAACGCGATATTTACTCCGCGTCGATGAAGAACGCTCGATCGACGCGATCGAGGATATTCTTTCCGATGTACGCCTGTTTCTACACTTTTCATTCGGAATTTAATTTGATTTACAGGAAGTTGTTGTCTTTATGAATTATATTTAAAATGAATTATATTTATATTTAAAAAAAAAAAAAAAGGACTTCGAAATTTTTGCCACGTCTACAGAAATTAAACGCTACGGCACGTAGCTGTGTAATATTCTTCTCTAAAATCAAAAATTTTTCAACTTTTTAATCTTCCACTTTTTTTACGATATGTTTACGTATCGCTTGAAATTAGCTCAGATATACGTTTTATACAGAGCGACTAATTCGCGATAGGAAATCAAATAATAATGAGGCACTGCGAATCATAGAGTTGACCTACTTGCACCGTAATTTACCATAATTTTACAAATTTCAACTAGCTGAAGCGAAACTCAAGAAAATCAATGTTTCGCGCAAGTTCTGCAAAGTCCAGCAGAAAGCCGAATTTTTGTACTATGATCTTGAAAAGGCGAAGCAAAATAAACGAACGATACTTTGCCGACGACTAATATTCCTGACTTAACGAAGTAACGCAGCGCGGCCGGTCGCAATGAAAAGGGGAGGGAACGGTAAACGATCGCTGCGTTTGCTGCGAACCCTTAGAATGCCACGCACTATCTCGTTCACGGCCGGTTTGCTTCTAAAAGAGTCGTAGATTCAGAGCGCGAGGGGTGTGCATCACTGCCCCCACGAAATACCGTTTATTATCGATCGTCACTCGATCCCCTGGTTCAATGTCGTACCGCCCCACCGATGCCAACCCCCTCCCCCTCCTGAAAATCCCTCGGCCGGCTATGAGGAAGTATATAATGTCTGCAAGTGTTCTCCTGTAACCGTTCGATTTTACTTTTCGATGCGTACACCCTCTTGCGACGAAAACCCGTTCGAGAATATTTCTCTGATGAAAAAGTGAACCAGTGAATGAGTTTTACTCTGCTCGTATTCTCGAATTGGGGTTCTTCGATTATCGATAAACGCTCGATAGTTGTATGCTTAATGAAATGAAAAGTTACGAAAAATAAAGTAAATAAAAATTTACTAAAAAATCGTGTACGCGATCGTTACTGCTCGTGTTAATTCCTCGAATTCTCAACGTCTCCCCCGAATACGTGCCTCTGGCAACCGTGGTGGTTGCTCGGCACCACTAGCAGTTAGATTAGAAATTTCCCCGTTTCTCGATGCGTGTGATTTAGAGACTCGCAGCTGTCGGACGCGATAATAAATTAGGGAATGGCGGGAAGACGCGCGCACAGGAGGAATTCCAAGAAACGGGCAGTATTTGTATTTTTATTTTCCCATTGCTTTCGCCACCAGGGATGACAGAAAATCGTTGCCTCAGTTTCGAAAGAAAAAGGGGGTGTAGACATTACCAAGGGGCCGGCTGGCTGGCACGACTGTTATAAATCAGACACACGCACCCTCTATTAGCACCCCTGTCTCCGACAGGTCTCCACAGCCCTAATTTAACGTTAAACGCTTTTCTGCTAATAACGGCCGCTCGTGTTATTAACTCTGGCGAGCAACTGCACCCGAGTTCTCGAGGAAACTGCATTTGTCTTCCGACTGTTGCCATATTGCCGACCTCTCGGTGATACCGATACCGATATCTCCCCTCAATCGTCTCGTTTATGAAATATCCAAGAAACTGAAATTTCATTATTTTTAAGTATCTTGAGACATTTGGTAGATTGGTATATAATTTTCTCCTATCGTCAGTGATCGTCGGCCACATCGAGACAGGAGAAATCGATTGAACGTTAACAAAAATTTAGAACGAAAGAATGTCCATATCGTTGGTATAATATTGTTGACTATTTGAACGTGCAAGTTTAGAAAGAAACTAATGCGAGTTTGTCTCTTCGTTTGCTTCGAACAGACACGCGTACACCAGTATCAGGCACAGATCTCGAAGCTGCAGCTGGAGAACGAGTCGATGAGGGGTCAGCTGCGCGGTTTGGAGGCTGCATGCGCTGGTGAGGTGCATGCTGCGTTGGTGGCACGTCTGGCGACCTTGGAAACGGAGCACGCCGCCTTGGCGCGAGACGCGGACGCTCAGCGTCGCCAGTACGAGCGGTGCCTGGACGACGTCGCCAACCAGGTGGTCCGCGCCCTTCTATCCCAAAAGGTTCATTGCTATGCTCTCGTTACCACATCCTCGACTTCTTTCTCTTCTCTCTTTGTTTCAATTTTCGTTCCCTTGTCCGTCTCTCGTCACGACAAAGCACTCGCGTGGGTCTTCTCTTTTTTTCTTTTTTTCTTTATTCAATCGTTTGATCCAATTGTCGACGACTAACGATGAACGATGTCCAAGTACGTAAATTATATTACGGTTTAAAAGACGTTACGTTTATTACTTTTTTTATCGATTTCGTCGATATGTGTATATGACGTATCGAATCTGATTTATTTTCCTTTTTCTTACGTGTACCACTTGTTCAGAAGAGTCTACCAATGATTTCACCCTCAGTGTCTGATCCCGTCTGATCCATCCGCTGCGCTGCAAGATTGCGAAGCTGCAAGTGTGTTTTGCCCGTACTCAGTTAAATGACACAAGTATTTTTTTTTTTCTTTTTTTTTTCCAATAACTCTACACTGCTCGAATCTTAACGAATATAGAGCTATTCCACTTTCTTTAACGCTAGTACACATAGCAAACGCTTGTCCGTCCAATCACGCCCGATTTTCAACGTTTTGGTTTTGAGATCCTCATTGTTCGTCCGCTAACGCGCTTTCCATTTCTAACATCGTATTTCGGAGTGAACGGCACACTGATCGTTTCTTCTTCCACGGCGTGCAGGGTCTCAGGGAAGAAATCGGTGCGTTGCAGAGGCGTATACGGGAGCTCGAGGCTCAAAATCGAGCGCTCTCAGGATTATTGGCCCAGGCGGCAAATCCTGGAAGTCCGACGGAATTGATTCAAGGGATCCTCGAAGCTGGACCAGCGGCAGTGGTCGCTGCCCTTGGTCTGGATCCAGCTTGGGTTCCCTTGTCTAGGCCACGCTCGCTCAATTTGCAAATACCAGTCATGGCTGCTACGAAATGTCGAAGAAACAGACCTTTAGGTACGTTTATCCGACAGATCTGTCGTTCGCGAGCTTGAGGCTAGGCGATTCGAAGCCTCCAGATAAATTAATTATACTATAATGCATTTATATTCTAATTATTATATTCTAAGTATATAATTTCTAATTGTTATGTATGTACCAATACGATATATAAGCTTCAATCATTAAACTAAAAGTAGAAAGTTAAACTCACTTGAAGATATTAAGAACACACGCGACAATTGAATTGAACTGACTTTTTTTGCTAAATTATACGCGTGTGCTAATATTTCGAGTACGTTTTGCACGCTTCTTGTGCATTTTCGCGCGTTTTAATTTTCTACAAGTGCATTCACGTAAGTCGTAATGCTAGATGGAACATTGATGCGATAACGTCGAAGTAATTCGCTCGCTGCGATAATTCAGCTCAGAAACCGTCAGAGGAGGAAGGTAGCGAGAGTCCGGAGAGTGGGAACAGAGACGAGGGTTATTCAACAATGTCCAGCGACGTGCAGGGTGAGGGTGCTCGACAGGAACCATCCCGGGGATTGGAAGATCTGAAGGAGGCGACAGACGAGACCGAGGCAGACGTTTCGCCGGATGCACGGCTGGTCGCCCTCGACGCCGGCGACCCGGACGTGCTGTTTTTGCCGTTGAATCTCACCGTTGGAATAAACCCGCGTCACAGTTATCCCCCGACCAAAGATCTGCTGCCGTATCAGCACGTGATGCGCAGCTTCTCTGACAGTCACCTATGCCTCAAGCTGACCACCACGACCAATTTCACACCGTACAAGCTGCCAAGCCCCATGGGATCCTCTTCTTTGCTTCTGGTTGAGGAGGAAGGCTGGGACGCCGAGTACGTGCAACAGTGGCTCAGGTTTGTTTGCGATTTTCTACAATCATTCTAATAATTTCTCTCTTGTTGCGATCGTTGGTTGGACAAATTAGTAGAGTGAAACACTGCAAGTAATTCGCTTCGCTAAAATCCAGTCCCTTCCGAATCTCAAGTCTCGATGATCGAGATTCTCACTTGAGATTTCCACGTGTACGAAAGTAGAGAAACAGCATCGACTGAAAGAGGAAACGAATTTCAGGTTGGACGACAGCAGAAGTGCTCAACAACATCGAGATCTCCTCGAGTTGGAATACGACAGAGCAGAATTGGAAGATTGGAGTTTCTCGTTGTCCACCGAGGACCTCGTTCAAAATGAATCCACGGTATGGAAGGAGCCGGCTACTACCACCACCCCGGCTCTTCCAGCAATCAAGGAACATAATCCTCTGGAATTGGAGGAGGACGCGAACGAATGCTTATGGAATGGTGCCAGTTACCTTGCTGATAGAACAGGAGGCGAATTGGTAAGAATAGAATGTAGCGAGCTCTTGCTTCTTTCCTTGCCATTTTTTCTAAATTAGATGCGACTTCTTCAATGACGGAAAAATTTAATAAAATCCATTTTTTTATTTCATTGATTGCTCGTTGTCTAGGTTGCTCTTCTAATGGATGCCAGAGCGACTGGATCATGGCCATACGCTACGAGTCCAGGTGCATCCTGGAGCAGCGAAGAGGGAGCGTTTGAAAACTCCAGCAAACGATCCTCGGCGGCATTATCTGGTTGCAGCGACGATCCGGACTCCCCTTCAATTGGCACGGATTTCACCAGGGATTTCTACAGGCTGGTAAAGTTCGAGAGTACGAAAAGCTTGGCAAGCACGTCGTCGAGAAGCGGCAGACCTCCGCCGGATAGGGAACAAGCCCTGCAGAGCGTGTTGTCCTTTATCGCCGAGCAACAAATGTATTTGGCCGAATTGCCAAACAGTCTGCTGGAACATAACAGTGCAACCCATGCAACGGAAGGTACATAACTTTCTCGTTCCTCTTATATTTCGTCGCCACTGCTTGTTTTATTTTGTTGTTTCAACGTTCGTTCCCAACTTCGCGCGTCACGGCGTACAAAAATCGACATTAAAATCCCAGGCAAAGAAAGAAAGAAAAAAGAGAAAAAAAATCTTACAAAAAGTCTTGGAACATGGATTAAAATTGAATTTCGTGTGAAAAGTTCTAGAGGAAACCGAGCACAAAGATGAGTTTGGGACCGAGGCGATGTGCGCCGAAATAGAAACGTCCGTCGATCAAGATAGCAGCAACATCGAGAACGTTGCTGAAACGAGCAGTAACGACGATTTGCTAGATCAGATACCCGTACCCTCTCTGGCACCGGAGGAGAGAATAATCAGCGCGGTGGCTTGCAATGGTGGTGTCTCTTATACCACGGTCGCGCCGTCTGAATTGGGTGCCGTTCCCGAGGAAGATGAAGAAGCTGCTACTTCTTCCACGCCGAGCACGGTTGTAAGTTTGACAATAGAGTAAAAAAAAAAAAAAAAAAAATGATTCGAAACCTTATCTTATCTCATTTGCTTCAAAATTTTACAATTTACAACATTCGATGCGTCACACTGAAGACGATCCGATCTTACCTTTAGATTTCCGACATTACGTTTTCATTAGGTAAGTCCAGCGAGAGCACCGCTACTAGTCGAAGGCAGAGACAGATCGCTGAGCTTCCACGAACGTGCCACGTCGAAGGACGTGATAGACGAACTGAATCGAATGATCAGAAAGGGAGAGGAGAACACCGTCACCCAGGAAAGTCAGGTGCCGCTCGAAAAATTGGATCTCGCTTGCTGTTGCCCGACCGGATGGGTTCACGTTGAACGGGACATTGACTTTACCGACCCAAAAGTGAGTATTGATCGTGAAGTAATTCAATTTAGGCCACTGTAACGATGAAAATTGTCAATTTAAATATGTCTAAGATAACAATTTACCAATTGCCGTGGTCTCTCTCTTTCATGTAAAATTCATGTTTCTTCAGGCAAGAGCCAATCTTTTAGACGTGATGCTGGAAAGCAGTGAGAGTTCTTCGGCGACATCGAGCAGCGGATCAGCCGGAAGTGACTCGGGGGATGAACCGCCTGATTACCGTCACTTGCACAGACTACACCGATACCGACGACAAAAGAAAGGTATTTATTAACTATCCGTACAGTAGTACATCTTCTTGTCCAATCTTGCACATCACTCTGGGATACTTTCTCCTACCTATAAATTATATCTTTCGCTACAGACATGATATAATTCAACAGACACAAAGGTTATATTAAAGTAAAAGTTTTTGAAAGCCTGCGAATTCTCGACCACACGTTTCAACTTTTCGCCGTCTTTTCTACCTCTCGTTCAAAATATACTACACGTTTCTTTTTCCAAGGATGCATTGTGAAAGAAAGAGTCGCTTCCGCTTATCATACTCGAAATAACATTACTAACAACAACAAAAAATATCAAAAGTCACGCTACTATACTCGTGTAAAGATTGCCATTTAAAGCGATTGAAAAAAAAAAAAAAAAATAAAATAAAATAAAAATAATTTGCTCAACGCTGCGTTATGTTTCAACGATATTAACAAGTATGTATATTAGCGTGAATATCGAACATAAACACGCATTAACACGTCACGCTGTTAAATGGCTTTAGCCCATTAACACCCCAGTCACTGTACAGTTACAAAAGAAAACGGTACATGAACACAAATGCTGGTAGCCCTCGCTGTACATAGCCTTTTCCACATTTTCTGTTCAGATGGTAGCTCCTACGCGGTGTGCTTTGATTGTCACAAGAAAAGCTACGTAGTTCGGCTTAGTGACGATCAGTTTCTGTAACCGACATGCCAGTTGGGAGGAATCGTTTCGCCGGGACCTATTTTGGCCTGATCCAACGTGAACTGTACGGCTACAACGGATTTACTATTGGCTTACTAACCGATTATTAACCAGAAGACGTTAGAACGAATTCGTTACGAGTCACCTTTACGCAATTCCACCTTTGTTGTTAAAACAAGTGAAAATCTGATATTACACGTCTGATAGATGCCGATTTGTCGGTTAACACATTACGAACGATGCATTCCGAACATCTCTTTGCATTTCATGTATTTTATGTTTTATTATTTTTTGTAAAGTTTGATAAAAATGTCTACAACTTCCTCTGAAAATTTGTCCGTAATGTGTTAATGCATCGCTATTTATTTATTTTTTTTTTTTATATATATATATATCTATACAAAATAACGTTCGTTATAATAGGATAATTTTGTAACTAGAGTATGCGCAGATACACGCTACAATATGTTTGATTAGTTAATAAAATGGGACAACTATTCGAAAATCGTTTTTTGTATTTAAAAGTTACATATTATGTAAATATATTTTTATTGTTCTATTATTTATTATACATCATTGTTATATATAATCTACCTGCGCCTGGAATTGCGTCAAGGATTACATGAGGCAATTACTTTCTCTCTCATTCTGAAAAATAATTTACTACTGATCGCGAATTATTGGCAGGTGCTCGATTTTTTCCATTATCTCTTATCGTCTCGATCATTTTCCAATTTATTCGTCATCTTATCAAAAAATAATAGAGACGGGGATAACATGCGAACCTCACATACATACTTACAATGGTAACATTAATCTTTAGGATAATAATTTTCACACATACGAGTATGTCATTCTCATTCGTTTTCGAATCGTTACATCACGTTGTTTCGTGACAGTTAAATAGCATGCACGTAACTGAAAGAAATGTAATCTATGTTTTCTCAAACATATCGATGTTACGGTAGCATTTACGCTCGTAAACGTGTTTTCTCGGCATGAATCGATTTTACGAAATGTAACTGCAGCCGCGCTGTTTAGCTGTCACGATGCCGTATATCTACATGGAAAATCGAACGCTTGCCAATATTCGAGAGTCCCGAGTCGGTGAGAGTACCAATTCACGAGAGAGATCAACTAACGATCACATGACAATGGAAAGCAGAGAAAAAAAAAAAAAAAAAAAAAGTGGAGAAATACATGACGAAAAAGGAGAGTGAGAGAGAGAAAGAGAGAGAGGAACGTGATACGTGTAAGAGTGCTAAGCCGAGCTACTCTGTGTCTGCTAGAACCGGTATAGGAAGAGAGAGAAAAGAGATCAAGTGAGGTCTGAGGCATGTTGACCCGCTGCGCTTGGTTTCTCAGCATCGGCGGCCCAGGCACACCGTGTGTTACGACTGCCGTCAACCTGGGGTTCATCGAGGCCGTCGATCATCGGGCGGGGTGAGGATTTCTTCGTGCGATACGGAGACAAGGAGCGCGAAGCTGTGGCCTCTTTTGATTTCCTCGACGAGATCGTGGCACCCTCCGCGGCAGGCTCGAACGCCAGTCTCATCGATTTGGATGACACACCCTCTACAGAGCTTCATAGCGACATCATGAAGCTTTCTCCTCTGTAGAATGAACTTTCACGCGAAAGTTTATCGTCGTGAAATTACATGTCGACGTGATGAGAACTCTCGTAAAAACAAGCGAACTATTTTGTTCAAATCGCAGACCACCGTGCATGTTCCGTTGCACCATGGTAAATTTAAGTTTCGCCGGTCTTAATTATCAAAAGTAGATACACGTACGAAGCTAAGATCCACGAGGGCAAATTGTATTATAATATCTTGAAGAATACATTAATTTTTTTTTTTATAACTCTTCTTACGTTGTGCGTACGCTTCTCTATATATACAGCGAGTAATATATTGCATATAATTTCGATAGCAAAGGACAAGCTGATTTTTTTGTACGGTGTTTTGCTAAAGGTCAGTATAGTTTTATCGTGACGGTATCTATTTATTTTTGTTAAATCACTCTAAAAAGCTTCGACACAAATTCTCGTCGATGTATTCGTTTTCTATAGCATAAAATATAGAGAAAATTCGAACATATTTTTTTTTTCTTTTTTTGTTCTTTCATCACTGCGAATCACATCTCTTTTTTGAAATTAAGTAAATAATCCTGCACAAAATAAATTATTAAACAAAATAACGAAAAAAACTTAGGTATCACTGTATTGTTTGCTTATATTTATAATAGAGATTCTCAAGGTGTACATCTTTCTTTGATGTCTAATTACTTACTTTGTTATTATATTCATAAATATTGAAATTTGTAAATAGGATATTAATTTTCTCATAAATAAGAATAATTATTCATTATCTACTTGCATCTTGAATATCACTAAGATTTTTATAAGTCTGATATAAGATGAAAAATATTATTTAATTTTCTGATGAAAACTTAGAAATATAATTTCAAGAGTTATTGGTCATTTTCTTTGTGAAAAACTTTCTTTGAACAAAACATTAATGGATGAATGTCCTTTCAAAAACATTTTTTATCATTTAAATTTATGTACATAAAAGATCATAGAACAGTTCATCATACTTGAAGCATGCTGTTGCTCACAAGATGGAAGTAGATATCTCAGTTATTACATATACATAAAAATTAAAATATAGATAACATTGTGCAAGAGGTGGTCTATATATATATATATATAGCGTAATACTATTAGCGTAATATGTACATTATCATGACAAAAATATCATAGACTGGAACTATGATTATTATACTTCACTGAATATTTCAAACAGTACTTCCATTAATGATCTTGTTTATCAAGATCATAAGACACTGGGTGATCTTAATGAAATCTACTTCTTACGCACATGAAATTTAATTTACAATTTTAACATACGTTTCATAAAAAATTTTAAGAGTATAATAGAGGGTCGATTACAATAAACCGCGATTGAAACGTATCTTTAATATATTTAGATAGAGTAACTGTTTCTACATTTTTCAAACGGAAAAATAACGCGAAAAATGTCGCGCATCATCTTCCGAAATTGAGCTTAGAAAAATTTAGATTAAGAGTACTGAACGATTTTGTATGAATATGAATTTGTACTCTTTCTCGTCGATAAACGTTTGAGGACATACTACATGGTACCCTGTTGTTAGCATGAGACACGTGTTACATGCACGCTACAAGCGCGTATAACTTTTTGTTCCGTCTTCAACGCAAATATGAATGTATTACTTATAAACTGTAAAATAAAATAGAGAAAGTTGAAATTCAAACAGATATATTTAACATGTGCTTGGCGCGTGTATCATCGACCATAGAAATAACATAAATAAAAAATAACTCAGAACAGAGAAATAGTAACGCTATGGTTCAAGACGCCGTACCACAAGTGGATAATTTCGTCATAATTTGTACAAGATTCACACTTCAAGAACACGTAACGGTTGAGATAAACGGTTAATTTGTGTTTGATCAAATTATTAGGAATAATATAGTCCATGTAATGTTTAAGATATCAAGTCGATAGAAATTGAAATATTTTACACGTAGAAATATATGTATATTTACGATGAATATATATATAACACGATGAATATTTTCAATATTTGAAATGGAGACTGTACGAATATAAAGTTGTATTTTTCATTAATCCGTTTTCACACAGAATTTGTTATTACCATATATATTTGAGATGAGACTAGAGTATTCACCTTTTATGTGTTAAAAGAAATAAAAAAAAAAAAAAGCTATACATATTATATTGGACTCCAGTACGTTATTATTATTTAAATTTAATGATTCTAGAATTTTATTGCGTCATTAATTATAATATTTAATAAATACAACGAAGAAGTTCCAAACGAAGGCAACTTTTGTTCTACAGTCTTAGAGTAATCCTTTAATGATAATTATAAGTTACGTGTAAGATGCATTATATTGAAAATGCGATCATTGAAACACTGATCCTCTATCCCAATCGAAAGAAAAAAAATCCATTGGTAGATATAAAACTCGTGATTGGGACATTGTAAATAGTATGTATTATAGCACAACAGATGTAAGTTATCCTCTCTTGAACTTAATAAATAACGACAATATAACGAATGTAAAGGCGCATATTCGATGTTCAATCTACAAAACCGTTCCTATAAAGATACTATTGATATATAAATACTATCAGTCCATTTGATCACATTGTCCATTAAAATAGACAAATATTTCAATAAATAATAAAAATAATTTAATTATATGAATGTTTCATTTACATGTAAATAACTATAATAATTAAACAGTAATGCAAAAATTAAAATTAAAATTAAAATATGATCAAGTTTCGTAAAAGTAAGAGTAATTTCCCTTAGAGAGACAAAAAAAAAATACGTTAATAATTTCAGAAACTTGGGTACAATAAATTTTATTACAAGGAAAATATATATTTCGATATATTCCTTTAGAAAGTATAATGAATGTGTGCTGTACAAATAATAATATAAACTGTATTTTGTAAAAGCATCTGAAAGCAGTGTGTAACACTTATTTTAAAATATTATTATAAAAATACTTCCTCATGATATTCGCAGAACTACATAATGCATAGCGATATTTAACATTTTATTTTATCAAAATATTTTAGAAACTTTAATTTTGTATTATAAAAAATAACTTAATATTCTGGTGCATCAATAATAATTTTTTGTAATTGTGTGCAAAAAATATTATATCACATATATAAAATACAATTATACAAATTATACAACAAAAATAGGCATAAAACTTACTGAATCCCTATATACGTTTTGCACCAATTATTATTATTATTATTATTATTATTATTATTAATGACAGGTTATTACTATAATTATTTTATTTGTTATACATAAAAAAAGCATCCAATTTAGTGAAAATGTACCAAAATTAAAAATATATTAAATACATTTTATATTACATACCAAAGTAAAAATTTAAACAAAAACTATGTCCCAACTTAAAGAAAAGACACTTTTTCCTCTGTTTGTCCATTCATCTATCATTTACAAAACTGTCTAAATTTATACCAATACAATAACTGCATCTTCTATCACTTCTTAAGATCAAATTATTAATGGTAGTGTTATCAATTATATTACTTTTTACTTTTAATATATGCTTCTTTCAATGTCTTTTGAATTTCACACTCTGTAACCCCTGCGTTCAGCATTTTTTATGGAATTCGCCAAGCAAAGTGCGAATATGATGCCGATCAACTGAAATATGATATATACAATGTACATACAGATTTTACATGTTCATGCTACATTTTATAGTAATATACTATACTTTATGTTTGACATGTATATGAAGAAGTAGAAATCATAAAATAATCATAAAAGTAAGTGCAAAAATAAGTACTAATTTTATTTACAGCTAATACCGGATGTATTGATAAAAAAAACTCACCTCAATACCAGCAATAGCAATAGCTACACTACCAAGTATAGTTCCAGCAGTTGAAATCGCGCGTTTTATTTCTTCTACACAGCCGTGTTGATATATGATGTCCTGGTTAACGCAAGTTCCATTTTGCTTGCCACAACAACTTGCCGGAATAGGAATGTTAATGTAATCACGTTGAGAATCGACACCACAGCATTGAAGCTATCCAAAATCATTTTAAATTTGATAAATTATAACCTTCTTACATTCGAGGAAACTACCTTTCTTCTTCTTTTTTTTTTTCCAAAACCAAAAACTTCGACCGACTTCGAAAAATTCACACGAAATTTTACAATATAATAAATAAGAAGTAAAAGTTACTTACACTGCTCTGGACGATATCAATGATTTCTTTGTTCTCGCTGTAATTGTTGAATAGTTTCTGATAGTCGTTTCTAATATCAATCTGATTGTTGTCGTTTTTAACAACTACGAACGCATAAACACCAACTGCTATTTGCACAAGCAAGATGAACAGAAGGAACGATGCGAACTAAAAACGAGAAACGAATCTGTTAGCCTTCACAACTAAATAACCAACGTAATTTAAATGCTTAAATATATATATATATATATATATATATA